AAGATGCAAGCCACTCGTGCTTGCGAAACGTCAGGAAGAAATTCTACCGAACGACGGCCTAAAAACCCGAAAAACCCAAAACGAAATTCGTCCACTCTGTATTAGTGATTCCTAGTGATTTTATGTGGAATTCTCTAATAATCAATTTCAAAAGCAATAAATAAAATTGCAGCATTAAAGACAATGAAATTGTAAAATTAAATAATTGAGTGAATAAAAAGTGGCCAGTGGTAATAGATAAGGAACAGATGGAACAATCACTGTCCGTGAGATAATCAATGCGGTTTGAGTGCATTAAAAGCGAAAAATTATCTAAAATTAGGTCGCGCAATTTATACTGTTTAATGTTAGGAAAATAAACACACACTTGCCACTATAAATTATGATTAATTTTCCAGGCAGAAAACGTGGGTGTATTTTAGTTTGTTGACTTGATATGAAATTGGGATCGAAATCAGTTTGCTATCGGGCAAAAAACGTCTTTCTACCATTTAGTAGCAAAAAATGAGTTCGAGAAAGTAAAAAAGTGCGTTAAAAACTCGAGCTAAAACGAATGAACAATCAATTAAACAGTGCGTCATTCTTCGCTCGCTCACTGTTATGCGCCCATAAAAGAAATTTACTTGCCATAATGGCTTGGCAATACCGAACTAATTAAGATAGATTGATGCGAAAATAGTCAACCGCCCTTTACATTGCCCATAACAATTGTTTGTTTCATTTCTCTTGAGTTGCCTTTAATTATTTTTTCCTCTGTTTCAGGCATGATCATTTCCATGCCATTCCTGCTGATCACATTCCTAGTGTATGCTCTACTGCCCGACCGAAATCTCCACCAAAGAGCGTTAATGTTTTATGTTTTATCGCTGCTCATCGCCTACATTTTATTAGTTACAATCAATCTGGCTCCAAATATTCCCACTTGGTTTTGGTGCAAATTCTTAGGTGAGTTTGCTAATTTGATTATTATTGTTGCATCCGCAGGACCAGTTTCCAACCTGTTAACGGGCTCGAAACATCTTCATGCAGTTTGTTTGATGGTTTTTTTTTTATTTCTCTAGGTTATTCTACGCTGTTCTTTTTCATGGTGTCGTTTTTCTGGATGAATGTGATTTGCTTCGATATTTGGTACACCTTCAGGTAAGGCAAGTTCGACAAAATATGCAAATAAATGTAAATAATTTAAAAAATTGGTATTTTTCCACACACAATGAATTTTTAGCGGCGGTCGCGGTTTTATGGGAAGCAAAAGAACTAGCGAAAGAAGAAGGTTGATTTTTTACAGTCTTTATGCCAATGGCGTGCCGCTGCTGATAGTGGCGTGGACTTATGGGATGCAGATAAGTCTTCCCAATGAATGCGAGCATAATCCGGGAATAGGCGTGGCCAAATGTTTCTTAGCCACAGGTAAAGGCCCTAAACAAGCAAAATTGCCGATGTTTTAAACGTTTGTTTAAGGTTGGGCAAGTTTATGGTATTTCTACCTGGAAGCTGGCATTGTGGTGATTGCCAATATCACGTTTTTCATATTAACCGCCTTGCGAATCAGGAAAGTGAAACAGGAAACGTCGATGCTGAAGCACAACGACAGCAAGAGACACACGTACGAAAAAGACAAGCAAAAGTACGCAACTGTTTACGAAATGTGAAAACATCCGGCATCGTCATTCTCTTGCAGATTCAATCTCTACGTAAAATTGCTGTTTGCCATGGGCGTTAACTGGAGCATGGAAGTGATCTCTTGGTTGGTAAATTGGAACACTAAAAGCGAGTACCAGTATATCTGGTACGCCACTGACTTTTTCAACGCCGTCTATGGCGTTTTCATCTTCTTTATATTTGTTTTCAAAAAGAAAATCTGGACGCTCCTACAAAGACGGTAAGTGCAAACCGGTCTGGTGCTTCTATGTCGCTAACCAATTGGAAATATTGGCAACAAGGGATTTTTCCGAAAAACAACGGCCAATATTTCCAATCAAAGCTGCAAAAGTTTGTTTTTTGTTGACGACAGTTTTTTAGCCAATTTTGTGCGCTGGTGGTGGGCCAAAGAGTTGACCACTTTTAAGGGCAACAACATATCTAGACTTATCTTTGAAAAACCACTAAATACTTAGTCTCTCCGAGGTTCTACAAAGGTCCACTAGTTCAAAGTATGACTGATTTTTTTAGCAAAAAGGACCTTTGTTAACTTCAAGGGACTCTCTGTTCACTCCAAACAAAAACTTCATTCACAGAACTGTTGAAATGCTCAGTGTTCGATTGGAAAATGGCATTTTTCACTGTTTGAAGCCCGCATTTTTTAGTTTTTTGGGTCAACTCTTGTCGATAAGTACATAGAAGACGTCTAATATGCTGTTCCATGTTTGTGTTGTCCGAATTTTAGATTTAATTGGAAAATGTCGCAAGAAACCGTGCTCACAGGTACTTCGCCCACACCTAGTAATGTGTCTAACAGTAAATCCGCATTACCGTAAATCCGGAATCGTAAGTTCATTGAGAAATCCAAAAAAAATCACGAGTAAAGGGATGAGACTAATTTTTCAGGTCGACAAAGAACCAATGGTTTGATGAACAGCCTTCGAACTAATCGCGAATTCAATGCCAAAGCAAATTGTAGTTACTAAAATGCTAATAGTCAGTTTGGGAAATTTGAATTAAACATTTTTAAGCTATTTTTCTTGCTTCCTGAACAGGTTTTCTCGGCCGCCCCGATAGGCCTCAAACTAATGCTAATCTATTATGAACAATATTTCCATATGAAGGTTCTATTGGTTCTTTGCCGACTTCGGTGGTGATGATAGTGAAAGCTACGGTTACGGTTGAAGGACACATTTGGTACCATCAGACAGTACCAAATGCCTATGGATGGAACACTAACATGCATGACTTCCTACTAACTGCCCGTTACAAGTTAATCAGAATTTTCCGTTAAAAAAGTAAAAAGTCTTACTCACCCCTATAAATTTCTTCTGCTTAGCTGTGGAATATTTGGGCGCACATCGTTCATAGCTACAGGGTTATCAGAGCACGACCCTGTAAAAAAATTAAAACCCCATTATCTCTTGCACCATACAGCATACCTTGTAAATATTTAACCGCTTTTCGATCTCAAATAAATCATATACAAATCGAGGAACACCTTCATGCTTCCCCAGCTGGTCCAGGGCGCTGCTCCTCGCACTGCTAATATCGAAAAGATCAACCAGAATTGGTGGAAGCTGCAGATTGAAGATCTGAAAAGGAAATTTGTATTAAAATCAGTTTCTTTTGCAGGTATTACAACTTCATTGGCAGGCCCCATTTGGCTCATACGGTCACATCCAGCAACACTCGTTCCAGCCATTATTCGTCTACGAATTATTCGACTGCTGATACGGGGCTATCGGAAAGAGCGACTGCAGTGAACGGACGACAACCGGCTGAAGAAATGGCTTTAAGACGTGTAACTTAAATATCAAGGATTAATTTTTTTGTTTTTTTAACGGGGCTTGAAGATGTAAGTTCTTTAAAAAAAAAAGTCGCATTATTCCCGCTAAACTCCTGTTTTGAGTTCGAAGCCAGTCTCACCGAAAAGGAGAACAGCCAGAAGTTTACCTTTAAAAATAAGTTCCTGGCTAATTTCCATAACGTTCCGTTCACTTAAATCGCTGTACTTAATTTTCGTTTATTTTATAAGTGACTGTAAATAATCTAAGATAGGAATAGATGTTTTGCGCCAACACGTACTTAATCGCGCACATTTGAAGAAACTGTAAACACGGGCATCGTCATCTTTGCACATGAAAAATTAATCAAAATCACTGGCACGTTTTCAACGTATAAACCTCTAAAAGTAGCGATAATTGACACTGTTTAGATAAACGAACCCATAAATTCTACATTAACAGCACTTCATATTGCATCTTTACAAACCCCACGATTTATCGTAGCTCTCTTCGGAATAGTTCATAGAAACTGTAAATTAAAATCTCATTATCGTTGTTTCTAATTCTATCTAAATTACAATTTTGATTAGTGATGAAAACCTGCACTTTTGGATTTTTAGGTCGAGAAATCGTTAAATAAAAAGGTGTAATCACGCATCTTTCAATAAAATATCAGTGTGCAATGTAATCAAATACAGATTAACTTGATTGTATTTATCGCTTAATAAAATATTTATAGATGGCCCAAAATATGAATTTACCCTCTACATCCCAAACCTAACACTTGAATCATAGAAAATTCAAAAAACCTTTTCATCTTGCTTAACACGGGGAATTAAAAGGAACAATAGGATCGGATTATTTCCTGGAAGCCAAACTATTTCTTTCGGGTAGACATTTAATATTCACCAATATGAATGTTCACATTAACTACAGTAAGAATTGCCAGCTTCCACGTTATTTCGACAGTGTAATTAAAATCACCACACGCCAGTAAAAATTAAAAGCAAGATTATTGAATCTTTGGAATATTTACCCAATTGTTTTGAGGAATATTACTGATTTGTGGCCACGTATTGAACAATTTACTATGTGATTGCATGATGCAAACTCTAAAAATCCACAATTTACTAAACACACTTAGTAATAGTAAAACCTTACAGATAAATTTTAGTATATTCATAGAATTATACTTGTTCACCTCGCGCTACACCAGAAAAGCTTTCTTAATACTAGCTGATGAAGATTAGAAACCAAAGAATCGTTATTTCAATCAAAACCGCGTTTAATGTGAAAGCACCTTAAAATTAGATTAGATGCATATGAAAAGACACAAACCCTAAACATGAATTAGTAGCAACGAGGGTAGTAAATAAAGAAAAATTCTTGAACAAGTACAAACACCAAATAAGCCTATTTCCTGCCGCGTTTACTCTTCGGGCCAGCTGCTTTTCTGGGCGTGGTCCTAGTAACGGGTGGGGACAGTTCCGCTTTGACCTCCTGCGACAACATGCAATTTATAGCAAAAACATGACAATCCGCCGGTTAAACTTTGAATACCTACCGCTGGTTCAGGTTCGGGTTGAACTTCATCTTGTACCATTTCCTCAATAGGATCCTCTGTGACGGCCACCGTCTCTACATTTTCCTCCGCTTCTTCCTCGTTTACTTTTTCATCTTCAGTGGTTTCAGTTGGATCATACATTTCCTGGTCGCCGTCTTCTTCTTCGTCTTCAGCTTGAAAATTCATAGGTTTAAAACCAAGCAGCAAGAAAATGAGGAAATATCGCAACAATAATCAGTTTCCAAATTCAGTTAGTGTTCCGAACTTTCTATAATGATAGTGAATACATTCAAAATCATTTCAAACAGTCGCAGAATTATTTTGCAAGACTCAGGAAGGTCTAGGGACAGAAGTGTTCAAAGACCTGCTGTAGCTTGCCAATTGCAGCCAACTCATGTGCATAAATAACACATTCTTACCTTCTACTTTAACTCCATTTTCGTCCCCAGTGGTAGTCTCAACGTCCGCAGGCTTGCTTTTCTCAGCTGCATCTTTCTCTGCCCGCTTCCGCTTCTCTTCCGAATCAAACCTTTCTTTAATACTTTCCACAAAACGATAGAAATGCCTTCGTGTGGTCAAATGAGCCTGAAAAAACAAAGTTGCTGATCATTCTAAAACAAAAGGTTCAAATCAACCTTACATCTGCATCAGACTTTTGAGCAAAGCTCCTATTGCACAAATCACACTTAAACCCGGTAAACTCCTGAAGAGCCTTGACGGCAACGGGTCGATTTTTCTTGTAAGCAGGCAGACGATCTACCATGTTAATCAGAGAGTCATCAATGTCAATAATTGGGTCTTCACCCTCCATGCTAAGACTCTCTTCCAAAACATCGTCCATGTTGATATCTCCGCTTTCCTCTCCAGATATTATTTCATCTCCATCTAGAAAATGTTCCAGTTAGTTAAATAAAGAAGTTGTTGTGCTTTAAACATGCCTTTGCCCCCGACTTTGCTTTCAGTGACTTGACTGGACCGTCTGAGATGTTCCGGTGTCAGGCAGTGCTCAATCCATTCGATCCTTGATGGATATTCTTTATCGCAAGTGCGGCAATTTGGATGCAGGTACCTCTTAAGCCGCTGATGCCCATCAGTCCTAAGAGCATTGGATATTTAACTTCTTTTATTACTTTATAAATAGCGCGTTTTCTACCTGCGGTGGCTAATGATTTTGCCCATGAATTTCAAGTCGCACATTGCACAATGACTAAGAGGCGGTTCGCGTCTTTGATTAAACTTCCTCTGCCTGCTCTGGCGATTGAATTCGATCAACTTGCGTTCCTCTTGAAGACGCAAATTCTCTCTCAGAATATTAACGCAAATATGAATGCTTTCTTCTAAAGCTTTTAGCATTTCATGGTGAGCCCTTCCTGGATGCAAAATAATTAATTAGAATTTATTGAGTTTTTGAACGTTTTGCATATCTACCTCTCACATGTTTACTCATGGATTCACCATCCCACATTTGCTTGTTGCAGACCCAGCAATGAAGGTACTTCTTATCAATGCCGCCGTATTTGCCGTCCTTTGAATCAGCCAAAACTTCTTTTTTGGCTGCAAATTTTAGCAATTAGTTCAATTTCATTTGCAATTGATTACCAGCCTGATTACCTTCTTCATCATCTCCGCTTTCTTTTCCTTCAACGTTGTTCTTCTCCTCCTTCCAATCTCTCTTCGATTCCTTCTTCTCTTCATCAGCTTCGTCATTAGCGTCAGCACTCTCCTCCTTTAATTAAAGTTTTAAATAATCCTTTTTAAAGTAAGTTATCGCAACTGTTTGAAACTTTCTATAGCGGCATTGAAATTGATTATCAAAACCACCTCAAACAGCTCAAATTTATCTTGCAAAACTCAGGAAGGTCTTCACAAAAGGGTTATAAAAGCGAAGACCTGCTGTTGTTTGCTAAAGATTTAAAGACTAAAGACTTACCTTCTTGTCTACTTTGACGAAAGCTGGCTTTTTCTTGATAATTTCCCTCTTGGGCGACGGTCTTCGTCGCCTATCGTTGCCAATAAATCCGCCCCCCCGGGATTGCTTTGTTTATAAAATGAATAAAAAATTTACAAATAATGGACTAACAAAAATAGTCAAGTACTTAATGTGTAAACAAGCCTTTAATTATGACGCTTATTTGGCCGATACGAAGAAGTGCTGCTTTTTGCTGTTTATTGAGATGTAGATGGACCACAATTCTTGACAGAGAAATATAAAGACAATGTTCTGTGCCACACTGTATGATTATGGATAAATCTGCTTCATAATCAAAAAGGGGATGTTATAAATTTGTGAAGAGCATTGCAGAATAGGTTTTTCTTGAAATCTTGAATAAAGATCGTTTGGTAGCAATAAGATGTAAGAGAATGTTAATAAAATCATACATATAATATGTATTTCTTCTGCAGTAGCTTTGAGGTGTTTACTGCGGCTTTCTGCTTAGGAGATTTCAAATTTTTCGACGGAGATATGTACTAAGGGATGGGAAAGTGAAAATACGACTGGACATAGTGGAATTGCCAAAAAAAATATCTTCAGGGCAATTTTCTGTGGTACCATTGGATGCACTGTTCAAATATAAATAGGTAGACACATGAACTTAAGATTAATAGCAAGGTTGGGTGATGAAAATGCAACTTTTCAACTAACCCGTCTTAAAAAGAATGAAGAAACGTGTAAGCAATGTGTTTAGTCAACTGCAGTCTCTACCAGTAGCTTAACACTTACTTGCAGATAAGCTTTCCATAGGCTGCCTTACCAGGGGCCAAATGGCCAGTCCCGAATATTGAAGATTTGTTTAAAATAGATCATTTGGAACATCCTGGGCTTACCAGAAGCCCACTCCCATGAAAACTCGAAGACTTTTGAAATTCTTTTGCATATAGAATTGAATACATTTCACCAAAGCTTATGATAGGTGTACCAATGAAAAGTTTGCGAAAGGAGCCTATTTATATTTAAACAAAATACATAGAAGACTACATATTCAAAGTGTACGTTGGAAGAATAGTAGTACACATTCAGACTCATGTATGGTCAGTTATTGAGACCAATAAAAACTTTTAGATAATACCTAACTAAGTTGTAAAGTTTGTACTTGAAAGGGAGCTCAGTACAATCGAATAGGAATTTAAATAGCATACCTTGTTGTAGGGCTCGTGACGTCTATTAATATCACGGCCTCTGTTAAAGCCACTGTTAAAACGACCGTAATCACGGTTGCCAGAAAAGGCCGGAGACGTATTTAGCGATAACAAGGACGGCGGTTGCTGTTGAGGTTGAAGCAAACTAGTTAAGGCCAGAGCTAGTTGAGGATTTGATGTTAATTGGGATAGAATTCCACCTTGATTCATATTGGATCCACCACCCTGCCAAGGGTTTACGCCGCCGCCACCGCTTTGGAACGGTTGCTGAGAAAAAGAGGAGCCACGATTGCCACCGCGTTGGCCTCCGCCAAATCTTCTATTCATGATCGGATGCTAGATATAGAAGAAAAATTAAGTTCGATTACAGAAGCTGACGCCATTCGCCATGATGGCCGCCCCCAACAGCCCTCAGCAAGAATCAAGCAATGATGATGTTTTACATCGAAAATCACCTCTATCTTACGTTAACTAAACGCAATTCAATGCTTACCTGTGGAATTCAAGAACAGATACAAATAACGAGACTTAAAATGGAAATCGATTGTGAAAACTTGCAGAGAAGCACAAACACGCCGCTTCAACAAAATACACTTCTACGATTGCTACGCATAAGTAGACGCCGAGCAGGAAATGAAACCGTAGAAAGTATCGTAGCACATTCGAAGTGCTCGTGCTGTCTCACTTTTACACATTGTAGTTTGAGCGACTGCGTTTCATGCGCCAAAGCGCTCCATTACTAGTGACGTCATTGCAGCCAAACTGCACAGTTTCTACTTTTAATTAAAAAACCACTGACTGCATGAATAATGTATTTGACAACTTATTCTCCGAGCACTGAAAATAGCTTTCGCCTTTCGCTTAAAATCGTCGGACTCACTCGCCCGTTTCTTCATCCATGACTTCGTCTTCATGCTCCTCATCACCATCCTCTGTACCATTTTGAACGGCCTTTTTCCTCGGCGTGCTCTTTCGCGACTTTCCCTCTTTGAAGTCTGCAGATTTCCGGCGTTAAATCAATGATTGTTAGATCAACTCACCGATAAAACCAACCTTTGTAAACGACATTTAGGGGCTCGATGAATTCATCAAACTCCAGCTCCTCCAAGGCCTTAATGACGTCCTGGCCCAGAAGGGTTTTCCTGGTTTCGTGCTGGGCTTCTTGCGAAGCCCTAGAGGTGAGAAACATCACAAAAACAGAGGCTGCTCTCGAGATAGCCGCTCTGGCGTCTTTTCCCACTGCCACATGTTCGGGAAGGGATTCTTTGATGAGTCTTGCCACTGTTGCACTTGGCAAATTCAAGTCTTCAATCTTCTCGGCCATTATATCAAACAAAAACCAAAGGAAAAATAGAAACACTTATTTGGCGGCCGACATAAACACATTTGTTTGGTTAGGTCGGCTGTGCAGCAAAAAATGCAGAATCCGGAGTCGGACAATATGGCAACCAAGCCAGTAGGCGTCTGATTCAAATTGAATAACACCAGAATACAGCGTAAAGCTGAAAGAGTTATTTATCAGTTTAAGTGTGTAATTTTAAAATACTGTGACTGGAAAGAGTTTTATTTCCAGCTCAACGAAGCGTTGGTTACAAAAATTAAATTAATTAAACTTATTATGTATTACGTAATAGTAAGTGCGTTTTTTCGTAATATAAATTTTGAAGTCACACTTATCCAGAGGGCTTGCCTGAGGCAAGCCAAAGTAAAGTACTATTGATATTCAATAGCAGTCGCGCATTATTTTCAGTAAAGAAATTACAATTTATTTTATTACATTTAATTGTCTTCGTTTGAAAAGCAAATTAGATAATCAACGAAGCCCAATTTGCTGGTAATGTTATGCGAATACTAGCGCATATACCAGGGACGCCCCATTTTCACTTTTTATAGGCCTTTTTCGATTTTTCGAAAAATTCCATTAGCGCCCGGGACATGAAGTAGGGCCTGTTTCGTCCATCGTTTAGCAACACGTCTTCACAGTAGCAAAGATAGACTGTGTCCACAGTTGACTGCAACAAAAAAACTTCAAAACTGCCTCAACTCAAAGAAATTAACATTAGTTACCTCAATAACTCCAAAAGTAATTGTCCCGGCAACTAAAGACACACAACCAACGATCAGATAAGGCATAGTAATGTATTCATACGTTGTGCCCTGTAAAATGATTTAATATTGGCAAATCTAGGGAAATTTATCGGTATATGTGGAAAAAACTGGTGAGTTTCTATGGGTTTTTAGGCTGCGTGTTGCCACCTCTGAAAGTGCAAACGTGCGTGCTTGCAAAACGTCCTAATTTTCCATTCAATTCTCTATCCAACGGTGCCAAAACGAATTCTCTAGCTA